GGCTGGATCAGATCACGCAGCGAATCCTGTCCCAATGTGCTCAACGACGCAGTCGGATTCGCGAGTAGGCTCGCCGACATCCGGCCCGCCGGACGGGAGGCCTGCAAGGCGGCCCAAGATTGCTCATAGCAGTGCAGTTTCCACAGATTATTGTCGCGGGCAATATCGAAAAACTTCTTGGAAACAGATTGCAGCTGCACCTTCTCACATGGAGCGAGGACTAGCCATTTAAGTCAACTTAGCAGCTTCGGGCGGATTTTTGCAGAGTGGTGCGGGGAAGATTCCGCCGGGGGGGTTGGGGTTGATGGCGGCTTACGAGCGATGATTTTGGTGAGGATCTCTACCGGCAGGTTGTCCATGAGGCCTGTGAGATTGCAGCATCGGGGGCAGATGGAGGGAGAGAGAGGTCGGGGTCCAGAGCGCAGCCTGTCATGTTACGACTGGAAAAAAGACGCCTTCCAGCGGGGGATCTGCAGTTGGTCGGATCACGTGGCTTAGAAGAGCAGAAAGTCCAAGTAAAATTAAGGGAAACATGATTAATCTGACAAAAGGGAATCCAAAATTGGGTTGACAGAGTGACGCTCGAATTTCTTGTCGTTTCATCCATGCACATAGGGCAAAGGAGGCTTAAAACGATGTGGTTCCACAGAACAGCAGTACCCCGGTTTGTTGATGGACAAGACCAATTCACATTTTGATTGGTAGATCACGAAGAGGCACATACACAATAGAGATTATAGGTAACTTGAACATTCCTGTCCAATATGCCACTCAACAAGCATCGACCCGCTACAGATTTCTCACCCTAGGTCTTAATTCATGGATCAAGCGTGAAAAACCGGACACCAAAACCGAATACGCCAAATATAGAAGGAATTGAAAAAGGCGCGAAAAGAGAGAAAAAAATACAGAAAGATACAAAAAGATAAAGCGCATACGTACTTCATTCATCGGGCTTGAACACGGCATCTTTGCAGAGAATCACAACCTTTTTGAAGAATCGGCGCCATTCCAAGGGATCACCCTTGATCTTGACGAATTCAACTTCGAAAACACCCTCAGAGACACACTCAATAAGGACCTTGCCTTGGAGAGGACACATTCGGCCATCTTTGGCAATCACTCGGATCATGGCAGACGAATCACCGGCAGTGACTGCCGGAATTGAGGGGACTGGAACACCCAGCCGGTGAAGAGCTTCGCAGATTAAGGGAACCAAGAGTTTGAGTTCCCAAGCAGAGTAGAAGCGTGTCATGGAGCGGGATGGAATGATATCTTGGAATTTCTGGGCATTTTGCGTTCGGCTCACGGGGACAGATGGTTGCTGCGAGAATTGAGACATAGAGGGTTCATCCTCGAGATGACTGCTCATCGCCATCCCTTGGGACGAAAATTGTTTCCCAGCGGGCTGGGTGGATGAAAACTCGGAGGCCAGGTGTGGAGTATCCCAGTCCATCACCAGCCCACCTGCCATCTCTGGTTGTGTGGAAGACAAGCCCATGGAAGCATCGGCATCGTTGTCCATATCCATATCCATCGCCTCGAAGCTTCGACTAGCGCCCTTGCGTTTCTGCGATAGAGGGTCTTGACTAAAGTCGATGTGTAGTGACTCAAACATGGAAGTGGCGAGATTAATCGGGTCTCGTAGCTTGCCATCCGCTGAAAGATATTTATTTGATCGTGTGTACCAAGGGTGTCTTCGTACGTCTTCGAGCGAGAACCGTGTTTTGGGGTTTACGGTCAACATGCCGCGCAATAAGGAAAGGGTGGCAGAAGGTAGTTTCTGCCATAGCTCATCGGTTGTTCGTGAGTTCGTTGCGAGGTATTCGTGAAATTCATAGCTGTCATCAGTTGGGCTATCCCACGGCGTGTTTCCCGCTAATAGGACGAAAAGGACGATCCCGCAAGACCAGATATCCACCAAGTCTGGGTGATAGCCCGCTCCCTTATTCTGACCTCGTGTGCTAGATGTAATCACCTCTGGGGCAATGTAAGGAGGGCTGCCGCAAAAGGTCGATGAGAGTTTCCTAGTCCCCTTGTATTCGAACAGCGCGGCCAGGCCGAAGTCCGCTATTTTCAGGTTCCCATCGGATGTCAAGAGCATGTTTTCAGGTTTGATATCACGGTGGCCCACACCCTTGGAATGCATGAAGCTCACAGCGCTGACGAGCTGCGAAAAGTACACATGGGCAATATCTTCTCCGACACCTTCATCGGCCTCGATTTTGTCGAAAAGGTCGCCGCCCTCAGCCAATTCCATTGCAATCCATCGCCAGACATCATCCTCGCCAGTCTGGTAAAAGCTAATGATGTTATTATGACCCGTAACGTGTCGATGTACGGTGACTTCGAGTTGTAGCTGGCGCGCACTGATTTTCCCATGACGCGCCGCGTAGTCTTTGTTAATGTATTTGACGGCGAAGACAGGGTTGTCGGAATCCACGGGGCAGGCCTTTTTTATACTAATGGTCGATGTGGATTAGCATCCCTGCTAGAGGTTCGATCTAAGCTGTGCTCACCAAGCATAGGCGCCCTGGCCGATTGTTTTGGATACAATACGGAACGGCACGTCGCTGGGAAGCGGGGCCAATTGCGAGTGCTGCATTGTGGTGGGAAATGCTAGCTGATAGTGGAAGGAAGAAATTTGAACAAAAAACTAAAAGAGTGAAAAAGGGTCGACTAGACACTATACATTGCGGTGAAACGAGGGTGGGTGGTGATGCGAGGCGAGGCGAGGGGGATGCGAAGCGCAAGGGTAGGTGACTCGACGCGGGATTCGACGCGGGCCACTTTATCCTGATCGGGAAGTCTGTTGATGGACTCCGCGCCCGTCATCGATGAGAGAGCCTTCAATGAGGTAGACTTGGAGGTTTATAGAGGGAATAAAGGAAGGGGGAAAAGGCAAATATAAGATCATAGTATATCTAGTTACTGAAATACTAGTATATATAGACTTGCAGGTAGAGGTCGTGAGTTACTAACTAGTACTATGTTTTCGATGTTCCACTACCAGTAGTAGTGCCCACTCGAAAATACAAGCTTGGAGGCTTTTAACTGCAACAACCTTGTATGTACTGCTTTCGCTCTTGTGGGGATAAGAAAGGGTCAAAAGACTCCTATTATTATTATTTCTGAGATAAGAACCACGTCATTAAGCATGGCCATGACCTGGATTCTGCATTTTCTGCCTGATCCAGAGCAAGATCAAATTGACCCCGCAGGTGATCACACTAGTTTTCCGTCACGATCGCCCGGCCTGTGCGTGTGTCACTTGTTGCTCTCTCCGGCTTCAATTTCCTACAGGAACTTTTCATGGGTTTTATAGACCATCACATAATAACAGGATCAGATCAGATCAAGATTAATATCAAGATTAACCCTACCGTCTTTAGATGATAAGTCCCTGTAACTCGCTCCTTCCGCATTCGTCGACCTTCATCATTGTGGTTGCCGGGGTAAACAAAAAGACTAGCGCCCTTTGTGCCCACGTCTTTTTTGTCTCCTCTCTCTGTCCTCTGTCCACCAAGACTCATCATACCACTTGGTCTCATCTCTCATCCCTTATACTTCTCTTTGTCATCATCTTTGCACATCCTCCAGCGTTCAAGTTGCTTTTGGTCGTGTGGGTCCCCTCTCCGATCCGTCGTCATTCCAGACAGCAACCCTCGTGCTACTCCGTGCACTTGCTAGCATTCCAGACACCCTCTGGGAATCTGCGGACTTTGACACTATTCTTGATTCTATCTGGCTTCTTTGATTCTTCTTCACGATGGACTACACCATGGAAGACTCCCAAAACTCGGCGCCCGACGCCCTGGAAGCTACTAAGCTGAACGCCTCCGGCCAGCGGACGGAGACGCAGAGCGTCACTAAGCGGTTAGTCGGCCACCCATTCAAGGGAACAATCGCCTTGAGATTCCCACCAATGCTAACGCTTCTTGCCAACGTTTAGTCTGCAAGCTGAACTGATGCAGCTGATGCTTTCGCCCTCACCCGGCATCTCCGCCTTCCCCGACGGTGATGGAAACCTCCTCTCGTGGACTGCCACCATCACTGGCCCGACAGAGACTCCCTACGAAAACTTGAACCTGAAGCTTTCGTTCAGCTTCCCTAACACCTATCCCTACTCCGCTCCCACCGTCCTCTTCAAGACACCCATCTACCACCCCAATGTCGACTTCTCGGGCCGCATCTGTTTGGATATCCTCAAGGACAAATGGAGCGCCGTATACAACGTGCAGACTGTCCTGCTCAGCTTGCAGTCTCTCCTCGGCGAGCCGAACAAGTAAGTGAAGGCAACCTCGTCGACTCTCACAGTAACACTTGAGCTAATCTCTCAACAGCGCGAGCCCGTTGAATGCCCAAGCCGCCGACCTGTGGGACAATGACCAAGAAGAGTTCAAGCGTCAAGTCCTGGTCCGACACCGTGATTTGGATGACGAGTAGATCGTCGATTTTCATACCTTTCATTGCGCATTGGCGTCGGTCGGACCACCGGATATACCCTGCCTCGCTTTTGTCCTTGCGCCGGAGATAGGTGGCACGAATGCATAGTGGCCTGGTACCATAGGCTGGAGTTTGGGTTTTCGCGGCTTTTTTCATTCTCTTAATTTATTCCTCTTTTCTTTTCCGCCATTTCATTTTCGTTGCACGCATTCGATTATAGGCCCGTATATCGAGTTCCGCAAACCATGCGAAGGTTTCCAATCAACTACAATGGTCCTCGGGAGTCTATTGGCTTCTTGGGTATGTACCCATGAGCTGGAGGTATGACTCGGAAACTTCACGTATTCTATTTGATGCCAGCGTTGGTACAAGTGTACGCGTGAGACGGTGATTAAAATATCCAAGATGTTCGAAGAAAATGTATTTGATACTTTTCTCCACATCTGCACATACTTCTGCGCATACTTCTGCAAATATAGTACCAAGAACTTTGGAAGCCAAGAGAATATCGAACCTTCCACTGGAGCAAGCACTATTCAAAACATGGATATTGATCAAGCTGAAGAAAAGTACTGCTTTTCATCGGTAATAAGCAGTCCAGCGACAGTAGCACTGGTAAAGGTACTAATAGCACCGGTGATCATGGCACTAACAGCAACACGCGACACATCGGCGCTACGCCCAGGCGAGATCTGAGCAAGCACACCAATTTGGTTACCCAGCGAACCGATGTTGGCGAAACCGCAAAGCGCATAGGTTGCGATGAGACGGGAACGATCGGATAAATCGGCGTAATTGGCCGAGTTCTGCAGCTCGTTGTAAGCGACGAACTCATTCTATTAATGATGAGGTTAGTAATATGATCCATTTGTTACAAAAATGATTTTCGCAAAGGGAGGGAGGGGAGAAGACGTACGGAAATGAGCTTGAGACCAATCAACTGGCCGACCTTGAGCAAGTCGCCATCGCGAGAAACTCCAAGCAAGAAAGCAATTGGGTAGCAGATGTAGCCAACAATCATATGGAGACTCAAGGCGGGGTCGTTGATATTCAAATATTTACCCCACCAACCAAGAAGGCCGTCGATAAGCGCGATCAGTGAGATGATGCACAGCAGCGTGGAGGCAATCATAGCGGCAATCTTGAGACCGAGCCAGGCTCCCGATGCAAAGGCGTGCAGCGCATTGGCCGATTTGTGCTCTTCATTATCGGGTACAACTACACGACCAGCTGTCAAGCTCTCTTCTCCTCGGGCCAGCGAAGCTTCGAGCAGGCCAGTGAGGCCGGGATACTCATAACACATGCCGAGACCAAAGCCTGTGGATTGACACCCATTGAGATATAGGCGATCAGGACACTTCCGGCGATAGTAGCAAAACCAGAACACATGACCTGGTGCAGCTCGGCCATGGTGAGATGAGCGACGAAAGGCCGAATAAGCATTGCCGATTCACCCTGTCCAATGAAGGGGGATGCCGCAGCGACAACAGCCTCGGCGCCGGAGACACGAAGACTCCAGAAGAAAAACGTGGCAAACTTCCCGATAAACCATTGCAAGATGCCGCTGTAATATAGGAGCTGGACGATGGAGACGAAGAAGAGAATAGCTGGAACAACGCCAATGAGGAACCAAGTGCCGGGCGACAGAGCCGTGGCCGTATCCGGCTGAACGGCTTGTTTCATAGCAATGAATTCTTTTTGAGTTAGGAAGACTACACCATCTGTGGCGAAGCCAAGAAGTTCACGGGCAAGAGTAGAAATAAAGTTGAAGATATCATAGCCGGCGCCAGAACGGAGCACAAAAAGTGCAATGATGAACTGGGTCAACATGCCGACAATTACCGTGTGCCAGATGATCTTCTTGCGGTTGCGCGATGTAGCCCACAGAACGAAGAGGAAGACTGCCAGACCGAAGAGACTGACTGCACGGTTTGCGCGAGTGTTGTCTGCACTCTCGGGCGAGGCAAAAGAGCCGATCAACATGACACCAATGCATAGCAGGGCCGCGGCTGGTGTTCTCAATTTCTCAGGAATGAGGTTTACCAATGGCGGCGCAGTATGGTTCCAAACGAAGTACATAGGCTTCGTGACAACGCTGATAGGGATATAGAAGAAAATAATCCGCAGCGTAATAGCCAGATAGAGCAAGAATGGAATCAACCATCCCCGGTCATATCGGTGCAGAATCAGACCGGCGATCCACCACCTAGGCCGAACAGCATGAGTCTCGAAGATTTCATTGCATGTGGGGGAAGAAGACATGTTAGGTGCCCTCTTATAAAGTTGATCAACTCACCCGGTGAAAAGTAGCCAAATCACAAGATGCATGCCATGTCGCCAATGCTTTGTCAAGCGGCGTTGCCATGGGCGTGCAGCCGGCTCAGCACTGTTTCCCGCTTCCTCATCTCCTGTGCTTTGGCTCTGGCTTTTACTGGCGTGATCCAGTGGACTCGGCTCCGGAACAATTCCTTTCTCAAAGCCTGTTGTTTCCTTGGAATAGACGACTTCGTCCTCGTGGCCTTTCTCGGCAAATGTGGTGTGGTGGTGGTGCGTATGATGATGTTGATGCTCCGGCTGCAGAGCAGGATCTATCCCAGGTGATGGCTGGGACTCCATGTCCCGAGTAGCGTTGTCTGGCATTTTTCACAGGCTCGATTGCGACTAGGAAAAAAAATTGGTTGTTTTCGAGTCTAGTATCGTTTAGAGAGAAGTCTGTGTTATCTCTATACCTTGCGCGTATCACTTGATCATTCCCTGGATTTCACGAGATTGGGGTTGGAATCGGGAATAAGCTCGAATCAAATGCGCCTGCCCAGGAATATCTGAGTTGAATCAGGTTGGATCAGGGGCCGAGAGGAGGGCAGATATTATAGACGGCCTGGTTATCAGAGGGTAGAAGCAACGTCCATTGTGGCTGGCTTGGTACTAAGCATTCCGCGCATGGCGATTGGGGGGGGGCTGGTTCGTTTATCAACGGCAAATGCCAGGATTTCTGTGCGGGGAAGAGAGAAGAAAAAAAAACCCACGAGATAAAGAGCTACGGACCATTTTCGAACAGGGTTTAGTAGCCCTCGGCTGGTGGTCCGGGGCTCACGCTCATTGAGACTCTATCAAGAGCCATGGACCAGTGGCGGCCACCCCGACGGAGCTCCCGTCTCAGCTGTGAGGGGCTTCCATGTAACCAAAGACCTGTGGGACCCCATTTTAAGTAAAGTGATAGCGCCGTTGCACCACTATCTCGGAGGACTAACACCTTTCAGGCGATATCTTGCCACCAGGGCGATGGTGGTTGGCTGGTGATCTTCTGCCCAGGAGGGTCGAATCTCCGCACTGGTGAACGGCAAGTGGGGGGGGCGCCTGAATTTAGTGGTCGTTCTGAGAGGTCGCGTGTTGTGTTTTGCCTTTTTGTCTTCTCTTTCTTCGGCTGAGATTTCTAGAATTCCAAGGTGCCTGGAGTCTGCCCTTTTAGGAGACCCCTGTGAACCCATCGACGGTTCTCCATGCGGAGATCGACTGCCCTGCGAGTTGATATCCCTCCATACTCCACACAGGCAAGGGTCTCCATGTACATGCTGCGGATGTATGAAGTAGGTACTCCGTACATAGTACTTGGATGATCTAATCTGGCAAATCTGGTCGCCTCGATTGTAGTAAAAATTTGCCAGTGGATACAGTATAGCTACTTGCACGGTGGAAATCTCGGTGGCGCTCCGACTGGGGGTCCACCGCACCACCAACTTGAACTTTAGAAAGCCCGACCTTAAATATTCCTCACTGGTTTTGCCCTTTTCCCATTCCATCACATTTGTTTTCTTATTCAAGGGCTATCTCCCCCCTTAATTCCTACGGCGACCTCCGCCTCGTAACTTCGGATAGGGGCTGATCTTGGCAGTCTAAGTGCTTACCTTACCTGCCATCGTCACATCGGACGGACTCATTTGGATAAAAGAATCTTGGCGCTCGACCTAATCGGCGCACGATCCTCGAGTGGCTAAAGGCGGCAAAGTGGCCCTTGGATAGCGGTGGATGCGGTGGAGAGGGAGAAAGCCGCCCATCATGGGATTGACCGTGATGCCGAGATAGTATGTCTGTCCTATGTATGGAATCTACGGAGTTGAAAGAGGAGATGATTTGGGTACAAGCCATGTTTCGTACCCCATTAAACTACTGTACACATTCCACTCTATATAGACATACAAATCAATCCTGAAGGCAATAAATACCAATTCCACCTGACGCGTGCAGAACTGAAACCCCCCCCGGAAGCGGTAGGCAAAGCGGGGCAGATCGACCCAAACTTGAAGATCCAAACTTGAAAGCACTCTCTGTTGACATCCTCCGAATATCTTCATATCTTAAGTGTATCTCTCCTCCTTACTCTCACCTTGAAACCATGGGAGACAGGAATATCGAATGGGAGTTAGAGGAGGGAATCCCCCAGGTTGAGGATCCCTTCATCCAGCAGTACTTGAAGGGCCGCGAAGCCTTGATCGCGGAGGAACAGAAGAGACGTCATGGTAAGATTAGCGCAATATCATTAATCAATAATTTGAATCCTTCTAAATGATTCTAGATGCCACTTTTCGCAGGACGCTCTCGCCCATAGCTGCCCGGGCTTGCAAAATCGTCTCTCAGATTAGGGCCCAGGAGCAGAACGAGATATGGACCACCGGCCTAGACGAGGCGGCGGCCCATCAATCGGACGAGTTTCTCTACCCTGGGGTCATGTTTCATCATGCTAAGGGTCGCATGGAGAAGACTAAACTGTGGAAGATTGTGGAAAGAATGCCCAAGGGTGCACTGCTACATGCACACATGGATGCCATGTTCGATATCGACTTTTTGATTGACCAGGCTTTCTCCACCCCGGGTATGCATTTCAAATCGGAGAAACCACTTCTCACCAAGAAGGACTACGAGGAGGTACCATTTTCCTTCCAATTTTCCTCCCAGCCGCTGTCCGCATCGGATGCTATCCCTAGTATATGGACCGAGGCCTACGAGGCCTCATCCTTGATTCCCGTGCAAAAGGCTGCCTCCTCTTTCCCGCAAGGGGGAGAGACTGGCTTCCGGGACATGGTACGCAATCGGTGCATGTTAACACCCGAGCACTCGTACAATCATTATCACGGAGTCGATGCTATCTGGTCCATCTTCACACGGACCTTCCCAGTCATTAACTCCATACTCAACTATGAGCCAATCTTCCGAGCGTGCTTCCGTCGCATGATTGGACAGCTTGCAGCCGATGGGATTCGATATGTTGAGTTCCGCATTGCCTTTGTCTTCGAGTATCGGAGGGAAGGCAATGACAAACCGGAAGAAAACTACGGTGAATTCTGCCGGGTCGTGGAAGAAGAGGTAGAGCGTTTCAAATCGACCGACGAGGGCAAACATTTTTATGAGGCCCGAATCATCTGGACGACTATTCGACGGTTTTCCAACGAAATGATTGTCGACAACATGAAAAAATGCATTGAGACGAAGCAGAACTTCCCAGACCTGATCTGTGGATTTGATCTGGTTGGGCAGGAGGATCTGGGGAGACCTCTAGTTGACCTCATCCCGTTGCTGTTCTGGTTCCGCAAACAATGCGCCGAGGAGGAAGTCGATCTGCCATTCTTCTTCCATGCCGGCGAATGCTTGGGAGATGGAGATGCGACGGATAATAACCTCTTCGACGCGATCCTACTCGGCACCCGACGGATCGGCCATGGGTTTTCTCTCTACAAACACCCGCTGCTGATCGATCTGGTGAAGGAGAAGAAGATTATGGTGGAGTGCTGCCCGATCTCAAATGAAATTCTCCGACTGGCTAGCTCCATCAAATCTCACCCGCTGCCCGCTTTATTGTCGCGTGGTGTTCCGGTTTCTCTTTGTAACGACGATCCGGCGATCTTGGGTCATGGGAGGAATGGGCTCACACATGATTTCTGGCAGGCTCTTCAGGGATTGCAAAATGTCGATCTGGCCGGTCTGGCGATGATGGTTCAAAACTCCCTCAGGTGGAGTTGTTTTGAAGACCAGTCAACCGCTGAGTGGAAGGCGGAGGTAACGGAGGGTATCTTGGGAGAAGGGCTCAAAGGAACTAGGCTGCGAGAATGGTGTTCGGATTTCGAGAAGTTCTGCGAGTGGGTAGTATTGGAATTCGCGGAGTTCGATGATGCCGATTAAACGATTCAAGATAATGGTGCGGAGTACAAAAAAAACTCCAGATACCAGATAAACACAATAGAAACACAAATTCAACATTGTTTTGATCTGATCTCAAAATTGAGTCGCGGGGAAGTGGGTGGAGCAGCAAACCACGCGCTTAGTCCAACTTGTGCTGTGTTGGGCCGCCTGACGATAAGCCCGCCCTTTATCAGGTGCTCTCCTCCGCACGTCATATTGGATCCTCCTCCATCTTCAAATCCCACCACCCCTTTCCCTTTCACATTTGCTTTTCTCTTCGCGTTCAGTTGGACTGTTCGAGCTTCGATGAATTCCGTTCGTGCATGACCATACCCGCCCCCTAGGGCGTTTCGTGATGGCATCGTACCTCCTCCCGTCCTTCTTCCAGAAGCGACTACTCAAATACGCTCTCTCCCGCCTGGGCCTGTTCGACACAGATGCTCTAGATCCGGATAACTTGGGTATTACTTGGGGTCAACGAAGTACAGTAGAGCTACGAGATATTGGCTTGAAGTTGGAGGTGAGCAAGACGTGCAACCCAGACCTACGGAGTGGGGCACTGATCCCGAGATATCTTGGACCGCATCTCTAACATCTACGTTACCTTAATAGAAACTTGCGAGCTACTTACAGCTTCCGCCAACATGCGAACTCCTCAACGCCCGGATCCAGTCCCTTCGAATAACTATCCCAGCCGACCTGATCAACAGCGGTATCGGCCTTGAAGCGAGCGGTATCGATCTACACCTTCGTTTATTATCCAATGAAGCGTCCCAAGATAAACATGGGAATAGAAAGCAGCAGACACTCCCAGTTTCGACAGGGCATCCTGTGGGTGGGAAACAGGCTCTACCTACGCCATCCAACCTAGCTGAATCATTCCTTGAGTCCGAGCCACAAGAGGAGAAAGAGGAACTGGAAGCCGCCATCTCATCACAATCCCACGTCTTTCAACGGGGGTCATCCTTCGGTGAAGATGATGAAGAGGAAGAATTAGGTCTTGGCAATGAAGAAACATCTCTACCGAGTTTTGTTGCGGGGTTCCTTAAAGGCCTGGCGGAGCGGTTACAAATCAGCATCAAGGACATCGTCGTGCGAGTGGACATGGAGTTGAAGCAAGACGGTCCTTCCAAGAAACATCCCGAAGATAAGCCGGATCTTGTCTCGGCCTTGTTGACGGTGGGACATGTAGATCTTCATGGGACCCCGGCATCCGCTACTAGTTCAACCGAGTCGACCCCATCTCGGGAAGGCAAAAGACTACTTTCCCTCGCTGACATTAATATTGGGCTCGTCTCGGACCCAGGTGTCTTTTCAAACTACTCACGTTTCACAGCCCCTGCCTCTCCAACTACTACCATGCAGTCAAAGGTCAGCCATTCATCCAGTAGAGCTGCGTCGCCACCTTCATTGAACAACTCCGTTTCCGATCCCGGGCTTGCCATGACGCGGTCAACGATTTTTGA